TGTCAGTGCGGCTGTGTTAAGTGTTTATTTACTCCTTCCTGAGCATCCTGTCACGAATAAGTGACCAGCTGTGTCTTGCATTGATGAAGTTCCCAAAGTCCCCCTTTCCTTTTCCATTGGTTTCCTTTCCCCTCCTAGGAAGACTGCCAATACACATGCCCACTAGAATAAAGATTGCAAAAAAGCTTTGCCCGCATGGCGTGCCTGAGCTGCAACAAGTCTGAATGGGTTCTGGCATTTAGTCTCCTCCGTTTCTGCATACAACCTTCGCTCCTAGCGAGACGTTTGAGACAGAGAACTAGAATGACTTTCAAGTCATGAGGGTCCAATCCTTCTTTGCATGCCTCCTCCTGCAAGGCTACAGGATCCCACAGCATTGGTCAAAGCACACAAACTACGCAAGAACTACACCTCCTTCCCCCCACTGTGAGAAACTATCACAGAAAAGGAAATTGCTGCATGAACAGCATGGTGACACCACTACAAAATTGCCAAAAAATGCAAATAATTGTCTCTTTATGCCAGGCCTCGCCAGCTCCATGTCGGTAGGCACCTATTGCATCTTGCCCTTCAATTAACTGGCAAGTCTTTCTGGGACAAGGACTGCAGCTTTTTGTTCTGCATTTATACGCTGCTTATGACTGACAGCAGCTCCAATGTGGCTGAACCCATACACTACCTCCCCAGCTCTTGAAGGGGAGAGGTAGAGCTTGTCTCTTTAAGAACACTCAAGAAATTTCACATTTCTTGTGAAATTTTTATTCTCTGTACTGCAGCATTTTATGTGGCAAAATATTATCAGCTGCACTTGCCTCCATAAATAGCGTGATCCTTACAGTTAAAATCAAGTGTTTCATATATATTACGAGTTGTGCTGGTCCAGCTGCAGAATTTCTGCTTTTACAGAAATAAATATTCATTTAACACAATCATTCTAAGCTAGACAGGTAGAGACCTGGTTAATGTTCCTTTGCTAATACTGCCATTTGAAATGATCAAAATCTTCCTGAGTAATGCTCAGAAACTGTGGAGGAAAGAGCAGAGAAGTAATTTCAGAGCAGTGTTTTTCAGCAGATCAAGATATACTCCCTGCTTAAGTGTGAAATAAGAACAAGGACATAACAAGGAGAAACTCGTGCAATATTAAAATTTCACAGAAGCAGAAAATTTATCCTCAAGGCTGCAGGAAAATAACTTCAGCTGCCATTTATGTCAAGTTTGGTCCCAGTATTAGCCAGCTCTGGTGGCCTGGCCTCGAGCCTGGCATTGCTCCTGCATCAGAAGACAGTGCAAAGAAGAGCTAACGGAGAATGAGAGAGTCTGACATCACAAAGGAAAGCAAAGAAATAATCATCTAAACACAGATATACTGCCCCGCTCACTCATCAGCAGGGGACTTGGCCTAAACGCCCAGCTCCTTTCCTGGCCACTTTGCAGAAATGTTGGCTGGCCTTTCTGTTCAACAAGTAACTCTGGCCACATGGCAGCAATTCAGAACCAGCTCGGCAAGCCAATTTAGGCAAACTTTCACACAAGGGAGAAATTAAATGCCAGAAGGGGACTGCAGGCTGCTGCCAGAGGGGATTACAAGGCGTGTGAGGGACCACCACACTCCGAAAGCGGCGGCACAGATGAGCACGTCCCATCTGTGCACAGCTTCCCAGGGCTCTGCACCATGCTCCCTGCGGCTGCACAGCCCACGAGCTCCTCAAGGAGCTAAAAATGCGACTTTCTCTTACCAAGAGAGTTTAAAATGAGAGCAAAAGGACTCTGAATAGTCAGTAGATAACAACAAGGCAGGGAAGAGTGAATGGTGAAAGCAAACTAAAGTGTTTAGGTAATCTCCAGCTTGCAAGAAGGGACATCTGAAACCAAAGCAGGAAATGCCTCCAGTCAGTTCACATTCACCATAGGACTCAAGAGTTGGGTTTTGCTTAGGTTTGCTTTTTCATCCAGATTGTCTACAATATTGTTAGCCAGCAAGACTCAAAAGGCACAGCAAGTAGAAAGGCCAAGGGCCATAATGTCCAAGTCCACGTGCAGAGCAAATAGAAAAAACAGGCAACAGAGCAGGCCTGCAAGAGAGAGAAAATAAAGCTTAAAAATAAAAGTTGAAAGACAATTTCTCAAGAGGTTTTGTGCCATGGCTGCAGAACAGGGTCACAGAAACAGTGGGACCCGCACAATTGAAACTGGTTTCTCACTGCTGTCCGTCCCACATCACCCTCCCCTGCTCCAGCTCTGGTGTTTTTGTGACTCTGGGCTGAACTGCTTCTGTGTTAAGTCAGCAGAAAACTAAGCCAACAAAAAGGGGAATAGGTTTCTGCTGGGATGTCATGCAAAAACCCTTCTGCACAGGCTGGGAAAGGAGACAGGCTCAGCTGCTGTGACACTGCAGGCTCAGGCTGATTAACTATTGCACTCACAGAGTTTTGCTGGCACTGTAAAGCTCCAAACTAGATCAGAATTTTACAAATATTTATTTCAGGAAAAACACAAAAACAACAAAAAATCCCCCAAAAACAAACAAACAAAAACAAACAAAAAAACTACTGGCTTATTCAGCACAGCTCCTCTTCCTCTTGTTGCATGTGCAACTGTTTGCCTAGCCCCTGTGTGTGAGGGGAAGGAAGGGGATTTTTTTGTTGTTGCTTTTGATTGAGACCACTTTTCCAGTTTGGTTTATCATGTAATTCTATAAACAGGTGTGTTGGCAAAAACCAAGGGTTGCACAGGACCGGAAAGAAGCAGCGGCAGGGAGGATGTGCTTGAACCATCACTGTGAGAAATAACATGGAAATATTCGTGAAACTACACTGCAAGTTCAGGCCATACTGTCCTGTTAGCTCAGTGCAGGCACCTCACAGGCGACAGTTCTGCTCTGAAACAACTAGGGCTTAATAGACTAATAACAATAAATAAATATCAGAAACAAAATCAGCCCCCACCTCCTACATTCAACACATCAAATAATTTCTCATGTCCCTACCTTGGTCAAAGCTGCAGAAGGTCAGGAGCCAATCTAACAGCTCACTGTCCCCAGAATGCCTCTCCTGGCCATGAAGTCTTGCCCTTTACCTTGTGCTATTTCCACCACTGCTTGGATTCTTTTGTAAGCTTATGCACCTTACCTGCATGGCAAAACATGAACTGAAATCACTCAGACAAGAATCTAATGAGTGCCAGGATCCAGTGCTAGGGAAGGACTGGAACTGCACAAGAAACAGATGGAGCAAGAAAAAAATGTGCAGAAGTGAAACATTCTAACAGGAGGGAATACCTGAACTGCTTCATTTCCTTCCAGACCTGCAGTATAGCAGCCTTGAACTCCCACTATCAGCACTATCTACAGGATCAGCCTTCCTCGCCACGTTTCAGTGGCAGTATGGCGTTCAGACAAACATTGCACACAAATAGGATAAAATTGAGTTTCTGGATATATATATATATGTATATATATATATATATTGCTGTGAAGCTTCACAGGGCTCTGAGCTCTCTACTTGGATTACTCACAGTGGACTAGTCCACATTTTATATCCATCAACTTAGACTTAATTTCGGTAGGGACAGAGAGTCGTTAATAATCCAGCAGTACTCCACATGCTGTCTGTCAATGTGCTCTCTATATAAGAAGCGATACTTTTTTTTCAATGGTAAAGCTCTCAGTAAGTAACATCATTAGAACAACTGCTGTCACTGTGACTACCTGCAAACTGTACTTAGGTAGGCACCAAGTCATAGTTCTTAAGCAATTAAGACTATTTAAACTGGGGGTGTTCTGGTCACTCCACTTTCTTTCATATATGCATTTCCTTGAAATGTAGTTAGCAGGGTGCTCCGTGTACAGAAGAAGGAATGTTTTAAAAAATGCAAAAGTCACTGCTACGGTAGCATGTTAGTGCCCCTTTCATCTTATTAAATCTGAAGCATGAAAACATGAAAAATACTTATAACATCTAGCTCACCATTAAATACCTGGTCGCAGGTTTATTTTGTCTGCCATACTACAGAAGACTCTCCAGGTTTCCCGCTCTAGAATCGTATTGTTACTGTTCAGATTCACAACGTGGCAAAGTATTTAAATCGCAACTATTCTCTAAAGCAAACGTCACTATTTAGCGCAGCGCTGGATGCAGTGCTTAAGTCTCCTGCTAAAAATAGTCTGTTTACATATAGAAGAATCTTAAGCATCCGGAAGTCGGCACCAAAACCCCAGCACTCAGACTCTAAACCAGGCCAAGCTCCAACTCTGATAGTAGTTTCAGTCTGATTAGTCTGATACAGTTTCAGTTTGAAAGGACTGAGTGTGTGTTGAGGATATTTGAGGTACAGTGCAGATACTTGCAAGGAAGTGCTGTAAGCCCTACATGGCCATTCTGGAACCTTCTGCAAGAGCTTTGCAGGGAGAACTACTAATCCAAAATCGTTCATCCACTCCCTTGCTTTCACAGGGAGATGACGACCTCATGGTGAGGTTCCACAATGTAGTTGGACCAACCTAATGGCTCACGGCCACCAAAAAAGGAGGGGTCTCTTCTTTTGCCATCTCCCTTCTGCTCCCAAGCTTGCTGTTCCCTTTGCACTGGATCTGGAGCTTATCTGCCCCCGATTTGTCTTCACTTGCCAAACTGGCAGAGAAATCATCCAACAACAAAAAAAAAAAAAAAGGTTTATGTCAGTTTAGCACAGGGATCACACAAATACTAATGCGGAGAAGTACAGGGCACCTCTTACAATGTAATCAAGTAATTTAACTGGCTCAGCTATTTTGTGCAACCTCAGACAGCAATGGGAACACTGAGACAAAGCATGGTAAGAGAAACAGTGCTTTGAGTTTGGTTTTTTTTTTTTTAAATACATTCACTTTAAGATCATTATTATTAATCTAACATGAAATAGCACTCTCACTACTATACTGCACTTATTGCACTTTCATTTACATTACTGTTTGCCAACTTAGCAAAAACCATAATGTAATAAATAAAACAAGAACTTACCCACAAATCCTTTTTCTCCGACTAATTTAAGGGCGATTTTATCTGCCAAAACCGAAGAATTCCCATGTGCAATATTAGCAAAAGGTCCAGCATGAACAAATACTGGTGTTCCCTAAAGAATAGAAAATATATATATTTTTAATAACATAACAGAGAGCTAAGAACACTAAATCAATGTGCAGACTGACCAGAATGCTCTACAAATCAAAAACATACATAAGTATTAACTGACAAATAATTTCTCCATTCTGAGGCACATAGCAGGTGCCTGAGATGCCACCCCTACTGTCCAACTACAAAATTCTTAAATAAGCCCACTGTCATAGTAATGCTTTTAAAACTGTCCCAGCTAGTGAAAGAAAGGATAGGAAAACAGATCTACATCAATGTTCTTTACACAGTTGGGATTTGGAGCTACTGCCAAACCTCAACATTTCAGGCAAACTACTGTGCAATCATCCTCAATTTTTGACTAGAAATATCACTTAAGGAGGATAGGTTTCAATGGATCAGCTGCAGGTCACATCCAACACCCTTATGAACCACAACATATTTCTAACCATACAATAAAAGCTGTTAAATGCCTTTTTTTCCTCCACAGTAATTTTAAAAAAGAACCTTTTAAGGCAAAAAATGTCCATGCCCACCAGGACTCCCAGGGCCTTCTCTGCAGAGCTGCTCTCCAGCAGGTCAACCTCTAATCTGTACCGGTGCCTCAGGTCATCACTCCCTTGGTGAGGGACCCTGCATTTGTCCTTGCTGAACTCCATGAGGTTCCTCTCTGCCCAGTTCTCCAACCTCTCCCGGTCTCTCTGCATGGCAACACAGCCCTCCCATCCTCAGCAAACTTGTTGAGGATGCACTCTGACTCTTCATTCAGGTCACTGATAAAGAAATTAAATGGTATCTGACCCAGTATTGACCTCTGGGGGACACTGTTAGCAACAGGCCTCCAGCTTGAGCAGACAAGAAATCCAGAAATTTTGTAGCCAAGAGGCCCTCTCCCACTGACTAAGTTCAAACATAGTATTAAACTAGCACAGAAAGGTGGTTCCCCCTAGGTGTTCCAACAGGAAAAAGAGCAGGAGTTATGTGAACGGTCTTTTTACAATGGCAATGCTGGAAGAAAAATTGTTTAGAGATTGAAGGGAATGAGCTCCAGGAGAGCCTCGGGATCCTCAGGCACACCCTGGTATAGAGACCATAAGGTCTTCTTAGACAGAACTTCAGCAACTGTAATCAGTCCATCTGACCCGCTCGACAGAATGTCACTTATTTTTGTTACTCTCTTCATTAGTGCAAACAAGGGATATATTCTGCTAACTGTTTTCAGTACAAGAAATTTCATTATCGGAGTTTTAGTGAAAAAAAAAAAACCCTGAGTACCAATAAATATCAAAATTATCTGGCTTACTACCATTCACCCCTTCTCTTTTCTGGGGGCAGCTCTTCACATGTAAACACGAGCAACCATCACAGAGTGGCCACACTGCAACTACAAGGAACTGTCCTGCACAGCAGCTGCTCTGTTACGCATGGTATAAATAAATGCTAAACATTAAGGGATCAGTTCACAACGAGAATAATTTGTCATGACAAACATGGATAAACACTATGAAATCATTTTGTATATTTTAAACTAATCCCTATTCTACAGTATTAGGTGCAAATACTACTGAAGCCTACAGTTTTTATAGGTACTAGCATTCCCTGCCATGTTTCCCACTTTGAGATTTTACTGCCATAAAACCTGTCAATCACTAATTCCTTGAGGTAGCGATATTTGGGAGGGGGTGGCAGGGCTGTGATGCAGGGCAGGAAATCAACCTGCCTCCAAAATCAATCAGTGTATATATATATATATACCTGATTGATATATATATATATATATATAATATGCACAGCAATTCACCCATTAAAAAAAAAGCATTCATATCTAAGTTGGCAGTTCAGTTCTGTGCAGGATTGGCATTCAGCCATTTCTGATTTACAAACCTATAACCCTTTTCTCCAGCGCATGTAGAGACTCCCATAAAGCTAATTTAAGTTTACTGAGCTGTCTGTTCTTTTCCTGTATTTCACAGTCTCCTTAGAAAAAACTCCTCAGATTGCCACAGGCCATGGCTTGAAGAACACCCCTCTACAGGGTCTTCTCCAGATCACAGAAAGGAGCCAACAGGGCTGTTTCTGCAACAGCTTCTTTCACCTGCTGCTAACATCAGACACTGCTCCTACAGATCACTCCAATTTAACTGCCGGTATGACCTAGAAGCCACCCTAAAGATCTCCCGCTCCCCCTTTTCAGGGGCTCTCTTTACCATTCTCCAGTGCCAGTGAGTTGGGAGACCTGCCTCAGCGAGCAGTTTCATCCCCACTTGCAGGAGAAGCACCCTGCACGCTCAGAGCTAAATCTGTGTTTAATGCAAGCATATTATTCAGTGTTTCACCACAAGAATCATGTAGACACTGGACACCCTTGTCACAGGACCTACTGAGGCAACTTTTGCCAAATGGAGGGGATTTTCATTCTTGGGTAGGTGCTTGGATAGGATTCCTGGCCTTGCACACCAAGCAGTATTCAAAGGGCAACAAATGTTTGTCTTTGAGATTCAAAAGGCAGGAGTGGAGCATGAAGTAGTCCTTTGAATTGCTTTATTTTGCTGTCATTTAAAAAAATGATTCTACAGAAAGAATTTTAGGAAAAAAATATCCTTAGCTACTGCAGTCAGGCATCACCTAATCAGCAAAAGGTTTTGATGAAGGTTGACAGATGTTTCAGCCATAGCATAGATTGGACAGAAAAGAATACCACATGAAAGAGAGAAACTGTGCCACTTAGAAATGTGAAAATAAATGAATGGAATGAAAAAAAGTGTGAATTTCCCATAACCAAATGTCTATCAATCAAAAGAAATGATTCTGACATTAATGACTGTCCTTTACAACACTGATACCACCACATTACTTTAACAAATACACAAGGCGTTAATAGAGTTGCAGATTAAACAACAGAACCAGAGCTACTGTACTGATGCTTAGTACACACGATCATCTAAATGGCAATTTAATACATACTTCTGGCTGTGAGATACTTCTTTTTCTACATGTTCTCCAATTTCAATTATTGGATGTCACAGTAGTCCTGACACACATACATTCTTCATGCAACCACATGAAAGTAACGAATTACCTTTGAAGAAGTCAACCAAGCTGGCTATTGAAAAATAAATAAAAGTAGCATGACTTAAATCCTATTTCTCTAATATTCCCTGGGAGATGCAAGTTACCACGATCCAAACACTACAGTAATAATGTAGTTATCACTTTGAGATGGCGTAGTCAGGGACTGCATTGGTATTCTTCTAAATTCTTCAAATTGTCACCACACCAGGAATTGCTGTGAAATGTTCCAGCTAAGAGATTTGAGTCAAGCTTGCAGTAATATGCATTATTCTAGCTTTTCCCCAAATGCCTTCGGTTTTCAAAATTCCTTTGTTATTTACTCTCTTTTCTTTCTTCATCTTCCCAAGAACACTCTTTAACATTAAGCTTAGTATTCAAAAGCCAGGAGTGGATTGGCCAGTCCCAAAGTTAAGCCGTACCCTTCAAGCACTGCTTGAAGAGTTAAGCAATTCTTCAAGCTGTTGGAAGAAAGCCCACCAGGGGTGATCATAAATCACTACTTTGGAAAGCTTCATTTGGTTTCTGAGGCACTCTGAAGCACAAAGAGGAAGAAAAGACCAAAAGACCCTCAATGTTTTTTGAAGAGCACAAAATATAAGACAGAATAGAACAGCCTCAGAGAAGTGTCTGCCTTCCACTGAGAACAGCGGGCTGTGGGAATCGCCAATGGAACATAAGTGTAAAGCAAGCGACATATGGGATGGAAACATCCCTAGCACAGAGAGACGGGAAGCAGAAGGAGGCTTAGGCCTCAGAAGCCCCAGCTGCCCTTCCAGCGCACACCAGCAGCACAACTCCTAAAGAAAGGAAGGAAATAAAAGAACAAAACAAAAACACCAGAAGGGTATAAATGCAGCTCAAATTGATTGGTTAACATATACGAATGAACATTTGTGCTAAAATGCATTTAGGGAGTTGACCCGCGCCTGAACCCTGGAAGTGAAGGACTGTTGCCAGAGACAGCGCATGGAGAGCGGAATCTGAAAACTTGAGGAGAAGGGCTGGCATCTCGAGCCACACTCACCTCTAGTGTCTGCATCAGCGTTGGCTTAATGGCGTCTTTCATCAAAACTGCCAATGCACCCGTCACTCCCTAAAGAAACAACAACAGGAAAGTTTGCATTTTAAGGATATCAGTTTTAAGGAGCAATGTTTCTAAGTTATGATTACAGTCAAAATAAGAAGCCTTATAGTTTAAAGGAGATAAAGACAGCGTGTTGAAAAACCACCAGGGACAAGCAGTGCTACACTGTTATATAACATATTTATTCAGTTCAATAATTCTAACATAGTGTATTTTCAAAACGATCCAGAAATATTAATCAATTTACTCTGAATACCCCTAAAAGACAGCAGGTAAATATTCTTTTCATTTCAAAGACAGAATAGAAACAAAGTTATTAAGCAACAACAGTGAGGATGTGCACAGGAGTGAATGAGGTAGTGGAAGAAAAGGTTACCAAGAGACTTGAGAAATCAAGAGGGCAATAATGTGCTAAAACTGCCTGAAGAAATGAAAGGTATATTTCACTCACGACAGAACAGACATCAAGAGACCAGATCAATATCCATCATCAACCAGAAAGGGTATTTGGAAAGACTTGTAAAAATACATGAGCAATAGACGCAGGGTGAAAGCAGATACAGATTTGTCTAGGGATAACTAGCAAAGGTACCATGAGAAAGGGGACAAAACTGAATGAATTGCTACAGCGTAGTTGCAAAAGTCGTACTCATTCCTAAAAAAAATTGCTGGATATTGAGTATACATTTCACACTGACTGAATTTAAACTAATCAAAAAAACATGTCACTACACAGGTACACCAGGTATCAATGTCCATTTTATAAAAACCAACTATAGACCAAGCACAGCACTATGAGATTAAAAGAAGAGTACCATCTGGAAAACACACGCATATATTCCAATTTGTTCACAAATTACATTGATTTTGGGAAGAAAATGTATTTGACTTTAAAGAACCAGTTCATGAATTAAAAGAAAAAAAAAAAAGTACTACTATAAGGCGTGGCTCACAAGTCTGGCAGAAAACATGAAAAACAGATTTTAAGATATTATTGTCTTTGAAAGAAACATTAAAACAAAATGTAAAGAGCAGCTGCCATAAACTGCCTAAAATAAAGGTTTCAAAAATGTGGGTCTATTCTCTGATTAGCTCATTAAGAGACAAAGAGTATTGTTCAAATAAATAAACAAAAATTTGAACAATCAAAATTTGCATGAGAATTCTAATGACAGGCAGATCAAAGTGTCTTTGAGATAGGTCATTTTATAATGACAGTATTTTATACAAATTAAAATTTTTGCATCTTAACACCAACTTCAGGAGAAAATCATCATTTTCAGCCTTGATTAAAAATGAATAAAAAACTAACATAGTAAAATTGGTTTCTAGTAAGCATTGGTTTCTATATAGCAAGTGTTTCTTTGGAGAGACTGAGGACAGAGAGCAAGGAAAGACTTTTGTCCTTCTCAGTTTGCAAACTTCCACTATCTACAGCTACAAATAGACCTACAAAGAAACAATATGAGAAACTGGATACTTTTCTCTCATGAGAATTAGCACACGCTAGATTTCCAGCTGTACATGTTAATTTCCAGATGTACATGTTAATGGAAGTTCTATTCCCAGTTTTAACGCTCTAACCCCCAAGAAAACTCCAGAATTTCAGCTCTATCACAAGTGACTCCCTCGTATTCATGCTTTCTTGTGCCCAACTATTCCCTCTTTGCATATGAATTGAAAGCTGAAGAACCAAAAAAGTGGAAAATATGTTAAAAAGAGAAATGAAATCACTGTTTCTTTTCACTTCCTCAGGTCCCTTTATAGCTACAGAGTGTTTTAATTGCTAAGATTATAAAGTGCTTATTCTAGACAAAGAACTTCAAAAAGAAATTAAGCACAAATCTCCCTGGAAAGCTAATGATTCATAAAGCTCATTTAACCATTATCCCATAAAATTTTCTGCTGTTAAAATAAATCTCACTTCAATATTTTGTCCATAAATACATTTTGATTTTATGACTCTGTAAAAGTAGCTGCTACTGTTGTTGCCTTTGATTTCTTGTGTTTTAGTTATTTTGTTAGTTTTCAGCTTTTTTAAAGTGAATATTTTTTTTGAATTTTAAATCTGTTCCATATGATTACTTGCTTCATAAGGATGATTCTACTCATTTAGAAGTCAGACACATTTACAAAATAAAATAATGCCTTTTCCTGCCCCAATTCTTACTATTTATGACAAAACAAAACAAATTACAGTGTTAGGAATATTTTCATTAAAATCCAGTTTTAAACCTACTAATTTATCAGGACAAATACATTTTCCCCAATTTTAATGAGTTCATATTTTGTATTAGGATAAATTAAGAGTTTTCAGTATAATTAATTAATATCAATATCGGCCTGTTGCTTTTCAGCTGTATCGTACCTGGGACAGAGTTTCTCCCAACAGCACAGTGCTTCCGCTCAACCCTCAGCTGAGCCAAAGCCTGCTCCTTCTAGCTGTTAGTAGCACAAAAATAGAACGACTAACTTAGCTGTTTTCATTCTATCTCCTGGAAAGCAGTAGCACCACATACACAGACCAGTCAGTAGGTTGCAGGTAACAGAAATATTATGTGAAGAAAAAAGCTTTTAAGCTTTTCTTCCCATACCTCCATTTCTGTCTGCATCACAGGACATGAGCTATTCATTTGCCTTCAGTCATTATCATAAAAGAGAAACAGCTGCTGATATTCTCAGTGGATGATCACTGAGATATTTTAGGATATAAGAGGCAGTTGTAATAGCTAGTCAACTTTCTGAAGAAAAAAGAAAAAAAGCCAAATGGAAAACTTGACGTCAGACAGAGCTTCCACCAGGTCAGTGGCAAGGTTAACTACCTGATCAGCCACCATCAGCCCTAATGCTGTTCAGGGGGCACCTGCCCAAGGACTGACAAGCTTTAACTCATGCCAGCTGCAGGCAGCTAATCTGGAGATTCAGTTGTCTGCACCATTCACCACAAGACATGGACTCATTCAAAGCAAGCATGCGAACAGTTGTTTGCTGACTCACGTGAACTTGACTGGAAAGAAGTGGGAAAGAATGTTTTGAGGGAAAAAGAAGAAAAGAATAAAAAGAATAAGAAATATTAAGGGCACTTTTTCCTCCCTTCCTTCCTTAATTTCTGCACCTTTGTGGTAAACTTCCTTCCCTCCAAATACACAGACATGCATCGCTCAACAACAACTCATGGTATCTGAAGATACCATGCAAGAAATATGAGATACCACGTGCAAAGAAAAAAAAAAAAGGTAAAAAGACTCCAATTAGCACACATCACATCCATCTGCCTGCCACGTCTTGCCTTCCAAAACTATGTTTTGCATCAACAACACTTCTTAAAAACTACACAGCCAAAAAATCTTCATATTGGTTGTCACGTTTTTGTCAAAATAAAAGTTCTTGTCATTCTTCCACATCCCAATCCTCCATGCATCTAACAAACAAATGCCACAGTTAGTTCAAAGTTCTGGAACTGATTCTAAAAAATATTTAAGGAATCAGGCTTCCCTTTCTACTTCAGAGGGGACAAATAAAATTTCACTAAAAATTTTATAAAAGAATTACAAGCTTAGGCACTCACACACCATTTAAACTTTTTAACCATGTAAGAACTTAAGGATTGCTAATTCCCATCAACTTGCTCACTCTCAGAAGAAGTAAGAAGGATGGAGAATCAAATGTGTATGTGGATGCCCAGCACTCGAGTTTCCCTAAACACTTCTGAAGATTATACCCTTCCGATGTATCCCTGAGCCACTGGGGCAGGTTTGCTCCCCAGGATAGCAAAAAGTGACAAAGGAAAAAACTCAGATAGAAGTCCCATCCTCTCAAACAGACCTCCACAGAAACACGCTCTGAAGTCTATCAAAAGTGGAAATGAAGGCCAGCACTAGATCACAAGAAGGATAAGTGAGAGTAACGGCTACAAAATCAATGAAGGGCAGAAAAAGAAAAAAAAAAAAAGGTTTTCTTATAAGTGAAATAGTTTTACATCTCCTTTGTTTGAAACTATAGCCTGTAACAAAATTGATAACATTTTTCTGCAATATCAGTTATGAAAAATATTAAACCTCAAACTGCTAGCTGAGAAGAACAGCAACCTGTTTTTGAAATAAAGCATGTGCAAAATGTTTTTGATGAACTGGGGAGGAAAATATATTCAGCCATTCATATCATTTATAAAAATAAATATAAAGCTGTCTTTTTTATCTTTTTGGTCCTAGAATTATTGACATCTAACGGCATGGTTGAGAAAGTAAACTGAGAAGCAGCCTTACTTGAAAAAAATTGTAACATATTTATTTAATATTCTTCAGGATTCATTATTTCTAATCTAGGGCATACATACCCATTTAATTTAATGTGAAGATATGGTATGTGTCCATCACAATTCTAATATATTGTAAAAGCCAAAAATGCAATTCAGTCTTCAAAATACTGTGGAATGAACACCATATTTTGGCAAATAATTCTGTATGTTCCACATAGAGGCTAGATATTTAATCTATTACTCTTGTGGAAAGTCTTCTCAATTCATGAAGTATTCAATTTATCTTTTTTTTTTTCTGTCTCCCAGCCTTCCTCCACATCTGGTTTGTATCTGTCAATGTATGTTTTACATTGTGCTATTGTATTTTGGTAAATACATTGCATATAAAGTCAAAGTTAAGAGCAATTGTATTTTTGTGAAGTATATTTTGTATACATCTGGAAACAAATTATAGAAAAGGGTTTAGTGGTTTTAGTTCAATTAGATTTTCAACAAACTGAGGATTTGTGTCAAACATTCAAGCTTGTGAAAAGGCAATCTGGGCAACATACAAAACATGATCCCTAGATTTTTTAAAAACTTTAGGTAAAACTGACTTCCACCATTCATTAAGGTCGTGTGACACTTGCCATTATAAAACTGCCTTTAAAATTTGTTAAAACTACAACTGATTGCAGTTCCTTCGACTAAAACATTCCACACAGTGAGATTCAAGCCTTGATTCAATCTTGATTTTATGAAAATTCAAACCAAGATGATTGAGCTGCTCTTAGAATGACAGCATTGTTTTTCCTACATTCATGTGTTTTCTTTCCAAGCTGTAAACCTTTACGTCCTCTCTGCTCCTGATTTGGAAGAAGGGTGAAAATTCAAGAGGAGAGCAGCTTTGTATCAAACCTCTTACCATCTCTGAAAACTTGTGCAAGATATAAATTGTGGAGAAAGCAAAATTGCAGTTCACCAGCATTCATCAGCAGCAAATGCTCAGCACTGCTCACACCCCCCATTAGACCTTAGCCGCAGCGAGCTCTCCACCTACACTTGGCTGCAGCAACCACAGCAAGAGTCTGCACCAGGCTGGACCAGCCAGGCTCCAGGCATGGGGACCGTGAGTGAAGATCCCTTCTCGTGAGCTGCTACAGGAATCCTCCTGCTACCACGGGGTCCAAAGGCAGGCGTGCAGCAGGCACAATAACAGCACAGGCAGCAGGAGAAAGAGCTGATTGATTCTGCAATTAAATGCTTATGCTGGAAGCTTTAGGTTTAGTTGCAAGCTATTGCAAGAGACTGAGACTGACGACCAGGAGCAGAGATGAACGAACAGCCCCACAGAACTGAAACTTATCTTTTTTTCTTGTGCATATGAATCTGCTCCTTCAAGAGGATTCTACTTGATAAGAGTACACATCAGCTATTCACAGGGTTTCTCACTATGTACAAAATATCCAACAAAATATCTAACTCGATGAAGAAATCTTAGCCAATTTCCTTTAGGACATTTCTTAAATCTCAGCATCTCAGTGTTTCACTACCATGAATAGGCCCTGCCTGTTTACGGAAGAAATAACATGATACGCAAGGTTTAAAGTCAAAAGTATTCACTAATTTTGGGTGCTCAACTTGAGACATGTTAAAAATCATTTCACTTAGTTTAAAGTTCATACAATCATAGAATGCTTAAGGTTGGAAGGGACCTCTAGAGGTCATCTAGCCCAACCCCACTGCACACGCAGGGTCACCTAGAGCACGTGGCACAGGGTGGCATCCAAGCGGGTTTGGAAGATCTCCGGAGAAGGAGACTCCACAACCTCTCTGGGCAGCCTGTTCCAGTAAAGTTCTTGATGATACCTCAGTAGATTTCCACCCTTTAGATCCTGGATATCAAACCAAACAGAGGAACATACAGTTTCTCATGGCCTGAAAGCATCAGTCTATATGGACACAGCATTGCACAGAAGCTCTGTGAAAAACACAAGAGTAGAATCCAACTCTCAAAGAGCAGAAAGGCTCTTTTCTGCCTTAACAATGAGGCCACTTTCCTTTTTTCGTACAGTTCTCATCCTCATTTGTCACGCACTGTGCAATAGAGCAGGCAGGCGTCTCCATTTCATAATCCTGACTTGCACTCATTCTTGTGCATTGTTTGACGAAGGGACCTTTCAGACAACAAAAAAATGCAAATGCAGAGCCACAGAGGGTTGTCATACTTGTGCCCAATTCTTTTTCTTATGCAGTTTCTCTTTTGTATATTACAGAACACTGTTTTAAACTAGTACTGGTAGCATATGTTCAGCACAAGTGACACTACTCAGTGATGGAGATGCAAAGCATAAGAAGTTTGTTTTTATTTTTTTTTAAAGGGTCAAACAAAACCTAATTAGTAACACATATTTTACTGAGTGCTACTTTCATTTTATAGGCATAAAAAATTCAAAGTTTTTCGTGCACTGTTCATAATTTAGCCCTAACATCCTACAGAGCAATTACAGGGGAAATGCTCTGCTACTGCTCTGATTTCTGTTGAAAGCAACTGCTTTCATCTAGCAAGCTGAAGAACATTAAGTGGTTTAAAAGCGGTTAAATATTTTTTGGCATTAATACCTTAAAAAGCAAAGTTAGCATCAAGATTGTTTTTCTCTTTTAAATGTACAGTTTTAATCCTGACATGGAATTATTTTAAAGTTGTTGCATATGTATTATAAAGTAACTCCCTCACTACCACCCTATTAGGCCCAAAGCTAAGGTACACAATTGAAAAGGAGTATGAAAACTTCAACAGCTCAAATACTAAATGCAGTTCTTGCAGTTTTTCATTTTTGACATTCAAATTCCTGACATATGCAAAAGTGTCTTAAGATTTGAATTTCCTGCAAAAATTGCCTGCATAGTAGCTGATCTGGTTTGAATTTTAATGATGACTGTATTTAGAATTCTTTGCACCCTTATCACTCTCAATTTCAATCTTCAGTCCAAGAGAGCTAGATATTATTTTCACATTCCCTTGTTAAAATGGAGTTCATTATGGCTGTGAAGGTATTGCTGGCTCACAGGTTTGCTGTCTCTGTTGATAGCACAGGGGATCAGGATCCCTTCCCTTGCTCAAAAGCAGTAAGCTTCTGCAGAAGTCCATACAAAAGGGATAAGCAGGAGAAAACACTTTGCTTCGCGAGGGAAATGGGCCCATGTGATAGAGGCAGCTATTGTCAGCAGGGTGGCTCGAAATCACAGCTCCAAGGCATACTGTGGTTGCTACAAGGAGATATTTAAACGACAGATAACACATGAAAGGAAAGAACTATGGTATTTATTATATTTAGGGTGCACTGCTGATCTGCAATATATGATCTTAATTTGACCACTAGGCTTCAACATACAAGTAATGTTACAATAAGTTAGTGGCAATCACGGTGAACTGACTCCTGGCATTTGGGTCAGATGGCGAGGGCTTAGGGGAAGCTTTGGCTGCACCAGAACTTGCCATACCCAAGCATGGGCTGAACTTCCAACCACGACCCCCTGAGTCGCAGCCTGGCTACAGTGCTAGGATTCAGGACAGAGGAGAGAGGAACTTCTTTCAGAAGCTGAAATAGGGAATGAGTAAGTGGCAATCTGCAAATATGGATGGGTAAAAAAAAGTCTTAATGATGTAAAGAGATAACCATTTCCCCAGAAGTAACAACACCTCCTGAATTAGGAATATCTTGTTTTAATTTCATTTTAGCAGTGTAAGGATTCATGTGGTAATTATCACTGAAGCATCTGAGCATCCTTGGCAAGTACAGTAGCAAACATTACCAATTCTGTCAGAGAGCAGCCTGCATTCTTTTGACTCCCCCCAGCACCAAATTTGTTTGCCTTAAGTATTGTGGAAATCTATCCAAGCAGGTTCTGCAGACCAGAGATTTCGTGAACCAGATGTTACCAAAAGACCTGGACGAGTTCATTTTACATCTTGTTCTCATTACAGGCAAGTTTTGGCCCAGATGATGATTTTCTTCAATATCTGACTGCGCTGTTCGAAACAAAAACCTTGGCACTCTCCTGCTCTTCTGCTGCTTCAAGAGGCAAAACATAGGAATCAAAGGTTATTTACAGGTCTGCAGCACTGTACATACCAAATCCTCTGCTGTTACCGGTTGCCCCTTTTTATCATTAGCCACCACCATTTTTCCCAGCCTCTCCTTCATATCTGCAAGGCTGGAGGTAAGTGCCAGAATGGCCATAATTTCACTTGCAACAGCAATATCAAACTGAGCCTGTAAAATAAAAATGAGAATCATGAATCAAATCAGAGTCAGGTCAAACACTCACAGAGAATTGTCAGGAACAGACATAGGAAAGACAGATGTCACACTGGAATTTAAACAATTCTGAATTGCAACCCACTTCAAACACTTTGTACTTCCTCATTAATATTGTATGTTACACTTCATCTACTTGGGGATCAGTCTTGACTGCTTAGCCCCTCAGCTCCCATTATCCTTATTAGAATCTCCCTCAAGGACCAAGATTTTTATTTTTATTTTTTAACTCTGGAAAGAAAAAGAAAAAGTACCAGATGTATTTTCAACTTCTCTGGCATGAGCACAGATTTTTTTCCCCCCCTTATCTGTAATGTCTCCAAGATCTTTTTATTATTATTTTAATTCTGGTTTCAAAAACATTCTTGTTCATTCTTTTGATCTCTTCTTGATCTTTCTTTTTCTATAGAAATTGAAAACTTAAGAGTTGAGATTGCCGGGCCCTGAGAAAGACAGAAAGACAGACAGAAAACACAAGAACTATTTGCAGCCACAGACCTATTGCTCTTAAAGAAATAGTCATATTGCGCAACACTTCAACCTAATATGAGCCATGGTCCTTATTTTTAAAGCTGTGATATGAATTAGTAATTTGTGTACTATTTTACTGTTAGAAAAGCCCAAGCCACATGCTGCGAGGAAATGAACAAGGTATTATGTGACAGGAATGCAATGTGGGCCTGAGGAACTGCAGCCTCTTTAATAATCTCCTCTTTAATAATCTCTCCAGCTCCAGTGACTTTAAGTCTCTAGAAAATGTATTAATTGACTCCACTCCATTACCTACATAGAAAAAAACACCTGGATTGGTCTGTACTTCAGAGCAGGCTCACCCCTGCACACCTGCACAATTCATCAAAACTTGTGATGACACATAAGCACTTTCCTGAATTCAGCCTCAGTCAGGCAGAGGTATATACCATTAATACCATAAATAATGAAAGCTAATTCTCTAATAGAGATATTCAGGGTAGGATTCAAATGAAATGCTGAAGTTATGAAGCATTTTTTTTCTTCCCAGGATGCAGTAGAACGCACAATGAAATAGAGCTCATGGTGAACACTGTTATTGTTGGGATTAAATGGATGCTACCATCTCTTCAAGGAGAAGAATGTGCCATGGAAGGCACTGCAGTGCACTTAATGCAGGCAAGAAGCCTGAGAAAACTATGCCCAACCCATATACTGGAATATTATCTGACTTTAGCAGGATGTTCATCAAGATACACAAAATTAAGATTTTATTAGACATATTGTTGTTTTTAGATGAAGTATAAAAAGGACAGAAAAAACAATCCTAGGTAGCTGCCTAAATAGTGACACAGTATTTTATTGAAAAAACAGGCCCAAGACTGTGATAGCAGGTGCTATTTTAACTCTAATAACCTTTATACACTATGAAGTGCTGACAGAAGCCTTAGCTGTAAAGTCCGTTCTCTATTGATGAAAGGATCCACCCACATGGATTCAATTGCAGGATCAAGGCCATCGGTCATGTAATACTCTTTAGAAAGCACAGCACCCCTGTTCATTAAAATGCAGGCTTTTGCTCCTGCTGTGCTCTGCCATTTTACACAGGTGTCATTGATTTTAAGAATGCTGGAACATCACTCCGAATATTTATAAAATGCATCTGTTAGCTATGAAGTCCTGTTTTATCTGGCTCTCTGGCTATGCTCTGAAATGAGTTTCGCTAACTGCTCTTTATTTCTCGAGTCAGTAAAAACATGTTAAAACATGAATGGATATGTGCGTAAGTCCAGTACATCAAAACTGCATGCATCAAGGTCATTTTAGCCAAGCAGTACAGAAGCAACACTTGACAGTCTTATGTTGATAGTACTTTGTAGCAAAACAACCCACGCTAAAGTCAGCCGCATAACTATGGTAGTAAAGCGGTGCACAAAAAGCCTGGCAGAACCTAGCTTAAAGCTAAGAACCATGAATCACTGATAAATCTAAACACAGGAAAACATATCGAGTGTTGAGAGAACATATACCATATTTTACAGTCACAGTCCACTACCAAAGATGAGTATTAGTTGATTTGAATTTTTTGTAAGTTATAGAAAATTCTCTACTCCATGTACTCAAAACCAGAATAAAGCATATGTCTCCAAAATTTATTTGACTGTTTTATTTAATTAAGCAAAAAGATTAAAATTACTGTGAGATTATTTTTCTACTCTTTATTGAGGCACAAAACATCAGATGTGAAATGATGAAGAAAAATTAAAGATGTGATTTCCACAAGTGATGCCTCATCTATAACACACTAAGTATTTCCTTCACACCAAAGTAGTTAGAACCTCATGAATGTGGGCTAAATTACAATAATCTTTCTTGAATTAGAAGCAAATGAGTTTGTTCCACCAAACATTGCTACTCTATACTGGATTTATTTTCATTTACTCACGCTATTCAGTCACATTTACATAACTGAGTTTATTTACTCAGAGATACACTTGTTCGAATAGTGACAGTGAAGTCTGGCATTCAATTTAGCAGCCAGATCTTTAATAAACTTCCAGCATTCCCTAATATATGCAAATTTTTCAAGTGCTTTTGACACCTTGTGCAGTATACATTGAATTGTTTCTGAAACTTCAGGCTCTGTTACTCATTAGCATGGTTGGCTTCCCTGCAACACCACTACACAGATCAGCAGATGTTAGCAATGCAATTCAAAGAGATTTGTGGAAAGAGTTAGAGACTGGCAAACATCTCTCCGTCTCCAAAGCAAAGTCTGTCCAGAGTAAGTTATAGTAATTTCCTTTACATACCTGACGGACAAATCCTTTCTCAGTATTTGCCTGGCCAATAGTAATTTTCCGTAGGAATCTGTCATTGGTATCCACCACTAAAACAAGGGAAAAGCAAAACATGTTGTCAAAGATCTTAATTCTTTCCAATAATTTTTCATGTTTTTACTATACACCATTCAGCTCCTTGCACAGCACAGTGTAAGCAGATAAACATGCCTCTGCACATTAACAGTGGTACTGACTTGATTTCTTCCCCTCTGTTTGATACCTTTGGATGACAGTTTGAAATAACACAAGCACTATTTCTCTAAACAGTATCTGAAGCTAACAGATGCTTGACATTCTAATGTACAACTTAATATTTTACCCACATAGGAAAAGTACGCTTTGGTAGCTACAAAGCACCTCCGATCTATCTCAAATCATTTACCTCTGTATTGACTTGTTAAAGGTTGATATCTAAGACTACAAGATACAGGTCTGTTTTTCTTTATAAGGATGATTATGTTGTCAGATTGATTCTTCCAGACAAGTCACTTTATTGCACATCACAGTAACTAACTCCACATTCAGCTGGGTAGCATTCACAGAGTTTTTCTTCCAACTGCCAAGACCAAGCATATGTTATTTAATATATATTCAGTTTCAGACAACTGGCTTCCTAACCTGGAAACACTTTGGGTATTGCAAGGGCATGCCCAAACCACGCCATGGAACTGCTAACTTCATTTACATTGCAGTAATCCAAATTGTCCGTTCTTGCACAGACAACAATTTTGGAACCAAAAGGAAGAACTGCGACCTGATCATGATGTTTCTTAGGAGGAAACACCAGCAGGATATTTTTCATCGTTAGAAGCTAAGACCAGACTGCAGGACTTTTCCTTTCCTGGGATGGTTCCTGGGATCCCTTTGGCCCTACAATCTTTTGATCCTCCTGCAGCAATCCTAAAAAAAAGAGGCATAAGGTTCTCTTGACCAATTTAATCTGCAATCTGGCAATCAAGTCTTTTTTTCCTAGGAAATGCAGATTTGAGTCATATTCAATATAAGGCAGAGGACGTGTAAGATATGACAGACTTTCCTGAGAGTTGCCCATACCGGAGGCTAGTGACATTGCCTCTTCCCTCCACCAATGCTCATGCTGTTTTTTATAGATTAACAAATTTGCCTGTGCAGAAACGGCCAATGTAATTACCCGAGGACAAGAGGGATTCAGAATCTCAGTTCTACACAAGCTGAGGAGGCTGAGAAAAGCAAGATTTCAGTCACCTCCCCTTCTTGGTCATTTCACATGGGGCTGCTGCAAATATGTCACATATGCTTTCTTCCATGGTATTCAGGCCCCTGATTTCCTTAGGAATCCCATTTAAGGCATGGTACAAAACAGATGTGGTTAACATATTTTGCTTTCTATTTATTTATACTGTCAATTTATCTTGGTTTCTATTTATGCAAAGCCATACTCTGAACTACTACAGTACTGGCAGGAACTGTGAACAGAGCTCAGCAGGAGGAAGCAACAAGCTTATGCCAAGCTAGGGGACCATATGCCACTGCAAAGCCAGATGGCCAGCTCAGCTCTCAGGCACAAGCCTATCCCCTCTCCTCATAGGGAACTCACTCCCCCAACAGCCTTAAGCAGGCCTTACTGTCCTTCCTCCTACCTCCTCTCAGGTACTGCTGAGAGCATGAACTAGCCTGTGCACCAGCTTGCACAGCCAACAGGCAGTTTTTCCTCTAGTTCCTTCCGAGGGATTCAGACAACCTTAATCCCCTTACCATTAAATGATAACTACCACCTGCAACTCTTTCTGGTCACTGGGTCACACCAGCTCTCTCACTGCAGTCACACTAATTCTCCAGGAAGATTCCAATAGCTGCACTAAGAAGTAGAAAAATAAGGAGAATTTTTTTTTTTTTTGACACAAAACCAATTTTACTTCTCCTACAACCTGCCCTCTTCCTTACCCAAAGTAAACATTCAGGGAAAAATTAGGTTCAATCAAGAGGCAGTGTTAGGTTTAATGCATTCACTTCCTGATCTGGAAGTGAATCTGTGGAATCTGGATTCCACAGAAAGGGGCAGCTTTCCTTCTTTTTAGTGTGTCGTATCTGTAAAGTCTTCTGTAGGATGACAATGAACTTCAAGCTTTTGACCTTTTCTAAGGAGGCAGATCCTGACTGTAAACATTTTCAGACAATCTGACATCTCTTTTGCCCTATCCAGTAAATTTTCAGTAAGAACCAAGCTTCACAAACACAGTCCCAAAACAACACTTTCAAATCTAAAGCACTCTTAAAAACACTTCTTTATTTTTTTCCTGGTAATATTTAAAATATTCCACACAAATCTCTGCGATGTGCATAAAACCTTCCCCACCATTTGCTTGAGATGACCTGAGTAATTTACTTGACAGCTGTTGAGTAATGTTGCCTCCTCTCAAACCTGTGCTGATCAAAACAATGAGTCACATTACACTGCTGTATTAGTCCTTTACGCTAATGCAGGTTCTCTTCCACGCACGAATACAGTGTGACTAATAAGAAACATCCTATGTCACATTCCACAATAGTATCTTGAAAAAATATCCTGAGTTTGAGGTGGTAGGCATATGAAGGACACAGCAGAGTGCAGCCAAGGGTTCTGACTTCTCAAGAGATTCAGCTCATTTTAGTGATATTCCAGTCAAATACTCCATCTAGCAATCAATTTTGATTGATTGTTATGAAGAGGAGGTGAAAACGCATCTTTCACCTCTTCCAACCATCAAAGTAACAACTTAATGCTTTAAAAAATTAATAAATAAAATACAAAAATTTCTAATGCCTATTAAGTCTCTGAGCTACCCAAGCTGCTTACCTCTCACAGAGTAATCCATCCTTCAGAATTCACAGTCCCTTGTATTACTACAGCTATTTAACCAAGATTAAATTTTTAGAAATCATAATTTAACAGTCAAAAAGTGAGGCTTTCTGATTACATACCTCTTTGCCATGTTATAGTTAATGGGTCAATATCAAGGCGCACAAACTTGCTGATCTCCTCTTCTGTTAAAGTACTAGGATCAGTCTTATTTATTCCCAGCCTCTAGAGAAAAAAAGAAGATAAATAAAGGCAATAAAGTGGCTGTTCGAAAGCTATAGCTGGTTTGGTTTATCTCTCTCCCCTTAAACAAGCATTTGGGAAAGAAAATAAGTCAGGGCTGAAACTATTTATAAAAGCACACAGGAAGAAATCTGTTACTAAAACAAGCCAATATGGATGGTGAAGGGAAATGAAAAACAATAAAAAAATGTAGGCTATTAAATGAAAGATCTGTTTTCACACAGAAGCTCTCAACATAAGCCGAGGAGAAAAATCAACATTATCAGTCACTTTGAAAAAGATAAAGCCAGTCATTTTAAATGAAAGTTAGGGAAATCCTTTTGAGAGTATTAAGTGTTTCCTCCCTACTCACCATTGAAGATCAGCCTCTCAGACTGCTTGGGAAGCTCACTTTCAAAAACAGACACGGGCATTGGGGTATTTACCATTCAAGGGAGAAGGAAAAAAAGCTGTTGAGAAACAACCTGCCGTTTCTGTCACTTGACACCCTTAAGGAAATTGCTACCTACAGATTTCCACTCCAATTTTAATGAAGCAGGACCATTCAATGGTAGTGTCCTGCTAATATTTTTTTAATCCATTTTAACTGAATTTGAATTGAATTTGACAGAGTTAGCAGAAGTCTTGGAAATTGTTTTCTACATATTTAATGCAAACAGGCAGACAGATAAGGGAGAAATATGCCCGGAGTGACCCTATCAAGGGAAGCTGGTCAGAAACCAGTGCCCACCAGTGCCGCTCTGTTTGGTGTCACAGATAGCAGGGAGTACAGGCCAGCAACACCCCCCACACACACATTGCTCTAGTGCTGTTGCAAGGAATGCGATCTCGTATCCATGGACCAGCACACAAACACAGGAAGAGGAATAAGAAGAAGGTAGAAGTATTGTGGGAATGAGTTTAGGGAACTTCAGCAAAAAAAGCAGAGAGATTTTGTGGAAGCAGAAAGGGCACTGGAGATTTGGGACAGAGCTGGACATCTCTGTGAAGGGAAACAAAGAACACTGATGAAGAGAGGAACCTGAGAAAGGGGTGATAATGAATACTACAGCAGGGAGTCACACTGGAGGGCAACAAGATTACTCGAGACTCACAAAAAAACAGAGGCTGGAAGCTAGAGTTATTCCCTAATGCTTAGAGCAAGGTATAGAAAAGAAAATCATATTTAATTCAAAGGAAACCAGGCTTCATTAGCTCTACCACTCATAAAACAATTTAGTTTTGGAAGACATTATCCAAACAGTGCAGGATAAGGCTAGCAATCAAAAATTACAGATTTACAAAGAAAAAAGCCTTCTCTGTAGAAGGCTCTATTGCCCCATTTTTAATAAAAAAGAAGTGAGCAAAACTCATTACAAAGGCACGCTTTTTATCACCATCCCTCACCCTAAACCCAGGGGAAAACCCACTCAACATACTTAGCCAAATAATGCATCTCGTATCTTTTTTTCCTTAGTGCATGTGCTTAGACAGGGCCCGTTAACATTAGTGACTAAATTCCCCAATGATAACATCTGCACAAGGCATCTTTCCACAGAGGCTCGCAGCAAAATTTTCAGCATAGCTTTCAACTGTCACGCACCAGGAGAGCTGGGGACCGGCACTGAAAAGTGAGCAGACCATCTCGGCGACACCTCTGCTCAACCCAAGCAGCAAGGGAGAAGCTGACAGAGAGCAAGACACAGGCCTGACACGCACAAGGCACCAAAGAAAAGCTTGAGTCGTCAGCAGCGAAGGGGAGGTGGCAAGCTAGGGAGTCTTTGGCCAGTGACAGGTGAGAAAAATGGAAAAAGAACTGAAGAGCAAGGGAATGAGAAGAGTAGTCCCAGAGTTAAAGTAAAAAGCTACTAAGAAAGTGTGGGACTGCCTGTACTTACACACCCAAATCACATACTAAGAGAGAAGTTTTAACCTTAATATTCCTTTTTGGACAAGAATGTACCCCTCCAGAAAGCTACATGTTACCATCTGAATTTTATTTTTATGCATGAAGAATCATTAGACTCAAAATAATTCAGTTGTAATGGAAATTGTAACATGCTTACTTTTACAAAGATAAACATTTTTTTTTTCAGTTGCAGATCCTTTGACAGACAGAAATCTCTCTCTGTTACAGAGATGCTCGGTATGCTATGAACAACACAAACACCACCCCCATCTTAAACCCTACATACCAGCCTATGAACAAGAGCAAAATGAAGACATCTCAACGTGCTCAAAACTTCTGCAAGATCTGCTCTGCCACAGAGGCAAACAAGCATCACCCACATCTTCGTTTAGGGTCATCCAGACAACCGAGCAGCCCAAAACCTCAGAATGTTGCTGGCAAGTATCTTTTAAAAACAAAACCCCCCTCCTGCTTTCCACACTCACACTCCCAGGGCAGTTCCCTGTGCACTTGGCAGGCAGTTTTTGCCATCCAGAGGCTCTGGAGCAATACTGGTCAGGCCTCAAAGGCCAACAACAATCATGGAACTGGATGCAGAACACTGAAGTTATCCTTAAGGTTCACATTCAAAATTGCCCTTCCCCAAGAGTAGTGGGTTGTGCTCTTCTCCATTTATTTATATGACTGGCAACATCCTATCTGGATTCGGTATTCATATATGAATTGCATAGGAAGTTCTTTTGGAAAGATTCAGGAAGCGTGATGGGATATACTATGGAAACAAATGTGTTTCTGTCCCTTTGGGGGAGAACATTGTCAAATAGACTTTAATATATTCTCAGAAGTATATGCTATAATAAACTTTCAAAGCCAGAAAATACTGTAAAATCATAAAATCTGTGTTTTCCTATGTTACTTTACCATAATAGGAAAAGCATTTTAAAAACTCTAACCTTAATATTTCATCAGGAAGGATACAGTATTTACAAAATATTATTGATTTATTTCAGAGAAGAAAACAGTGAAAATACTACTCACAAAAATAATATCAGACACAGATCCTATTACTGCAGGAAGGATGTTTTCAGAAAAAGTCTGGACTCAATAAATTCTTGTGGAAAGTTTGTATAAACTCAGTCCCATACCTCAAATAATTTGCAACAAGTTGCAATAAGAGAATATGTTTTATGAAGAGACACTATAATCGAGGAGAAAATACATTAACAACTTACTCTCAAACGCGCAAGCTGAATAGCAGAAAATCCTCTCACACCATTAACTACTGGAACCAGTCTATTATACAAAGCCTAGGAAAAACACACGGCAAGTTAAAGTAAGAAAATCTTACAACCAAGTACTATTTATATGAAACCTTGATCATTTTATTTTATTTAGATTAATTCCAGTAAGAATTTTCCAACTAAGTTGTGGACTTCTGGTTAGCCATTTAAAAAACAATTCAGAGAATGTTGATAAGCTTTCAGTAATGCCTGTGATTTAGCAGTCTAAAATCAATTACCAATTATTATGTGTTTATGTCTCACAGAAAAATTGTTTCTGAAATTCGAATCTCCTTTAAACTTTTAGCCAATGTAACTCAATTGCAACCAGTTTTATTACTCATGCTACTAATATTGTTTGCAAACAGGCTTAAATGCATACTTGTATCATGCCAAGAGGACAAGTCCTTTTCATTTTTATCAAGGCAGCTAAAATAAAAAATAATAAATAAATAAATGAGGACCCTTCCCTTCTCTCTCCAAAGATTCAAGTTGTATTTGTGTTCAGGTCACCACATCCTTAGTGGAAGACAAGAATCCCATTTATTTTCCTCATAGCATCCTCCTCTTAGGGTACATCATAAGCAAGAATACATCATAACCTTGACTTTTAGCTTTAAAGGGAGTTTACAAATTAAGAACAACAAGGAGAGATAATGTCCTTTATTAGACTATTTTGTACAGCTTGACAGCTTTTTCAGCTATTGTTGACAAGCTTTTGGGCACATCTTAAAGATTGTTAAAGACTACCTTAAGAGAATGTATTTGACATAAAAATATATTCTATAACTATTTCCCAGCAGAACATACAATGGTCCTAGCAATAATTCCCATTCACACATGGCAAAATCATAAATTATTATTCTATTTGGAGCTACTATTCTATAGATAAATTGAAAAGAAAAAGAAATCATGTGATATTAGAAAATAATTCTCACCTTATCAGACTGAGTATTTTCATGCAAGATCCTCGCATCAATAGCAGCAGCGAGTAAATTATTTGCAGCAGTTATAGCATGAATATCTCCAGTCAAATGAAGATTGAACTATTGGGTGAAAACAGCAAAAGAGAAGCTTTAAGAAATCATTTAACTCAATCTGCTGAATTATACAAGTTATACAAAGACATTTTCACCTGCGCATGTGGTAAACTACCAAAGCCCAACAAAGCCACAGAGGTCTTTTTATTCCTTACTAAATGATCCTGGAATAGAAAGCCTAGGGCTATGGTTCCACATCATTAATACCTAATCAGTGCAAATCACAGTAGAAATTTGACCTGGATCAGATGCGCAGATTTCTGCTGAATCCCCCTGAGCACAGTTTGTGCCGGCTTTATGCTTCCATGCCAGCTTTCTCCTAGCTAGAGGAGAAAAGGCTGTGCCTAAGCTTTGCTGATACTAAGTTTGCTCATCAACATTTTGTGGAAAAAACCCAAAATCAGCAGAGCTAGATTGAATGAGGATGTGGGTTACATAGGCATCATGCTTTTTATCCGATCAAGAAGACAGAAGGCCAGCTCTAATGATACTGTGGTACTAACAGCCTGGGGGCAGCAGCCACAACTGACCCAGGCCCTGGACTATAATCATACTGAAGTGCAAGAGAGGATCAAAACTATCACTAATTGCTACACTAGTGCTTTGCGAGAGCAGCTGTGCACTTGCAAAGTGCAACCTCATTAGTTCAGGTTGCAAAATGGCTTGGCTGAGTCCTAAGTCAGATTCTTTATCAACGAAACCCAATTGCAGGATCTGCAGGAGGTACACGGGTAATGCGCTTCAGTCCCTAATGGTGACAGAAGGGTGCAAACCAACCGGAGGGCTGTACTGACACCACGTCCTCCAGCACCCACAAAACACACGTATGTCAATAGAAAGCACTCAAACCAACAAGTGCCCTACAAATGAGGAGACTTTGGCACTGCATATTAGTTTCTACCCTTCCCTGAAAGCAGCAGGGTGAAGGCTGAGGAAAGGGTAGTGGTGCCACACACAGAACCGCTTTGGATCCTGTCCCTACTACGTGATGGGATGACAACCCCAAGTCCTCCTCCCATATCTCTCCTCCTGCTTGCCTAAAGATCTAGGTGCTGTTAGTATCTGTGCCCCTTTACTCTTTTAAAGAAGAAGAAGAAAAAAAAAACACCTTCAACTACAGTGTACTTATGTCCCTGGACAAACAGCTAGGTGTGCTGAAGACAAATGAGAGAGGCTAAATGTGCCACCTAGTACTGGATTTGACAACAGCTAACTGACAAGAAATACCAGACACAGTCTAAAATTCATCTAAATCCTTGCCTCAGTCTGCCCATAAAATGCATGGATTGTTTAGATTAGGTACCTTGAACATTGTATACTACAGAAGGATGAAGATTTCAGTCAGAATATCACTGTTTTCACAGTGAAAGCATTTTGAAAGCATACATCCATCTGGCTGACTTCAAAAGCTAACATAGGATTTTCAGAAGTACTTGAGACCTAGGGATAATGCCATCTTTAACAGAAATCCATTCACATAAGGGTGAGGGAAAGCTGCAGATTAATGTAAAGAAAACAATTCTTTCACTTTGCCAGCACATGTGAAAAGGTCTTTTCACAGGAGACCTCTCTATTACCATTTCTGGACTAAATTATCTTCCTTTTACTTGCTTAGCAAAAGTTCTGGTATTTATCTCTCAAAAATATTCCGGATCTGTCTCATGGTAAAATGAATCACTATCAGAAATGGGTCAGCCTGGCTAGGAAAAAAAAATGCCACAGCTGGTGACTTCATTAAATTAACATTAAATCTATACATGAAAGTTCTATCAACCAGACCTGGGTCTCTTTCTACTTAACCTGAAAGGTAACGCTTTCACACGTCTTTTGAAAAAGATGTCGATGTAAAAGGAAATAAATATCTTTAGTCAGCTCTTTATCTTGCATCTTACACATAGACAGTGCAGCAAACGTCTGAGTGATAGCTGACACATTGCAAACATGTACAAATACTGCAGGAGCCCCTTGGGCCACCACCTCTCCCAGAGAGGGCCCAGTATGCGCTGCGTTGCCTCCCCTCTCCCTAGTGTCTCTCACCTCCTCCATGGGAATCACTTGGGCATATCCACCTCCCGCTGCTCCACCTGTGCAAGAAAGCATATGGTCACACCAGACTCTCAGCAGATGGGATTAACAAACCCCATCAACATACAAAGTAAAACATTCAGCTTTATTGATACGCTTCATATTTTAATTTCTATTAGGAAATCAGTCATACATTCAGATAAAAAGGAATTACTTCAGCCTTCCTAGCTTTCTAATACAGACTGTGAAAGGGAATTCCTGATCTGAAAAGAAAGTCTGCAGCTGATGGCTGGTCCAGGCTTTGGCCAGATAAGGTTACTCACTGCTCCAGCCCAGGCTTAGGGCACAGTCATGCACATGCAGCAGTTGGGAGGAGAGATACTGCAGCTACCAGCAATCACTGCTTCCAAATGTAACCTTCACACTCTTGCCTGAATGCTCCTTTCCCACTGCTTCCCAATATATAGTCAAGTAAGTTCACTGTAACTATGCAAAAGTTGAGTGGAGATATTAAAGCACTCACATGCACCAGTGTTGGCTGAGAAGCACCAAGCACCCGGAGCCTTCCAGCTGAAATCAAAATTGTTAACTTAAACTTCAGCAAAGCAAAGTGGAGCAGATGGGGAGTGCTTGCCCAAGCTAGGCATCAATCTCAGCTGGGAAACGGCAACACACACACACAAAAATATGTGTATTACTTCCTATCAACACTGAAGACAGGCTTGAACTCTGGCTAGCTCTTACTTGGCCCTCAGGCCCTTGTAGGATTTCTGGGCTAAAAGACAGCAGCCCAGGATTGGGAGAGACAACTCTGAGAACGAAGCAAGAGACTCATACCTTGCCAAGCCAAAGAGGCAGACATAGCTGAATCACATACCAACACAACCACATCATAGCCATGACTGCCAGTTACTCTGGCTTGGATATTGCAAGTCAAATATGTGAATTTAGGATTGCTTCTCAAGGAAGAGTTAAACAGCAATTTTTAGAGACATTTTTTAAACTATCTTCAACAAACAGAGTGGGTGGGAGGGCGCACACGCACATAGAAAACTTCTTGCCTAACTTATGCCACAGCCTTGCACCATGTGTAGGTTTTATATGTCTTATCAATACACATAAGTTCATGAATATACACAGGAACCTGGGATGGGAAGATGTGTCCAAGCAGTAGGTATGCACTTAGCAAAAATACAAGACAGCACTATTGAGGTAAGCCACTGAGTTAATGAAGTAACTAAGGAATTTTTTTAAAAAATACATCATTTTAAACTGAAAGTAGTCATACAGTTTGCAAATATTAGATACCTTTAACTCCGAAAGTAGGTCCTTGGGAAGGCTGTCTCAGACAGGCAAAGGAATTTATGTTAAGGTGTGCAGTAAGAGCCTGGACAAGACCAATTGTGACGGTGCTTTTCCCCTCTCCGAGGGGTGTAGGAGTTATTCTATCAAAAAAAGAAAAAAGAGACTAATCAAATTCTTTGCTGATGTCATCCTGGCTAAGGATATTAGAACTTATGGCTTTTGGTTTCAATGAAGAATATTTGTACAACAAATTTCAATAAAATTACTCTATCTCCACAAAAATACTACCACAATGTTATTTTCCTAGCTCAGGCTGGAATGCTAATATACATGTGTCTTCTATTTAAGCAATTTACTATGACAGCAGAAAAAGAAAAGATTATTTTGGCAAAAATCTCTAAACAGAATATATTGAATTTAGACATTTTCATTACAGTGTAGAAGTCTCACTGATTTCATTAGCAAACCAACCATCAAAACGCTCTAAGTATGTATTAATAGTTTTATGTAGCAATGTATGGGATGTTTTATTTCCACTGCTCAAACTATGAATGAAATAATAACATACTTTAACCCAGAGAACAGATGCTTTTGTTTGCACAGCTCAACTATCCTTTCTTTAACTTCCATGTCATCATAACCCTCAGCAACTGATTTTTCAATCACACGGGGCACAAAAGGTATTGTACTTAGCTGACCATCATGTACTTTACATTTATGTTTCTTGACACCTTTGCAGATCTAAGGCCCAAGTTGGACAACTCGACACACAGTCTGACGTCCCACACAGCAGCTCAAAACATCCATGCTTGGAATTCCCATGTCTGCTCTAGAGAAACTCTCACTGAACAGGGATGGTATTTTAAAAAGGCAACCAACCTCAATATAAAGACTCTCTCTGTGTTTCTCACTACTTAACTGTAACAAAGAGACAATGATGGCTGATTTTGCAAATGAAAAGCTTCTCCATCCTGGGCAATGGGTAAAACAAGGAGCACTTCTACTGGATGGGAGAAGAATCCAGCAGGATAGTAAAAACAAAAAGTAAACCAAAAACAGACAAACCAATCAACCAGACAAACAAACAAAAATCCAAAAACAGCAACAAAAGGCCATAAAGAGAAAAGCTTTATGCTTGTCACATTAGCTTGTCACAAATCTATCTTTTACATCATTGCATTCTAGGCTTAAAAAACCCACTGTTAGACATGAAATCACTTTGCATCACATTTGTCTGTCACAATTTGGGCATCAGAAACAAGAAATAAGAAGAAATCCTAACCTCCAGAAGAGACTAACACATTTTCTAAACCTAACCCTTCTTCTGATCCATGCTTCCTCCTGACCCACTGCAAGAGGAGAGTGCAGCGCCCATTTCCTCCACCTTCATTTTTGTATTTCTGCTTGTTTACTTTTCAGTCCCCTTTTAATTCAGTCTAAACACCACTTCCTGCCTGTTTTTATTATTGCTACTGCTGTTGGTGGTTACCAATATCTCTGAACATCAGACACAGCTCACATTTGACAGACTTCTGAAACAGTGTCACTAGCTTATTTATTCAAATGCAGCTTCAAACACAGCAGAAGACTGACTAACTCCTCAAAGACTGGCAATTGGCATGCATAGGAATATGGACAATTCTTAAGACTATCATGGAACAAGTGAAATAAAAGATAGATAACACTCTTTATACTCAGTGTAAGAAAGGAATTTGGAAAAGACACAAACTTCAACAACAGACAAAAAAAAGAAAATAGTTATATAAAGAGCAACATCTACTTCTCCCAGAAGATTCATGCAGTCAAATACCACTCATATATACACTCATATAACCTGCCTGTGTAAAACAAACCAGAAAGAACTGGGAATTTTCTAGAGGAAAAAAAGCTC